AGCCCCACCCTTCCGCGAGCCCACAGCCACCACCGGAGCCCCACAGTCCTCCTCCCGAGGCCTTCTGTCCCTGTCCCTGCCCCCGTGGGTTGCACTGAGCCAGCCAGCCCCGGGTTGGAATCCAGTCTTCCCTTAATGGAATTCCTGAAAGAGATTTCTTGGTGGTGCATTCCACTCATTTTAGCCCGTCTGTCATTGTGGGCCCGGGAGGTAGCTTTGGAAATTAAGAGAAAGCAAACTTTAATTTGAGAATGCGTTTTAAAGCTTAGACGCAGAGCAGGATGGATAATTCGATGTGGATCCGCCCAGAAGGTTCTAACTCCTTCCTGGTTATTTAGTGAGGTGGAGGCTGGGAGGTAGGGTTTCAGAGTGAGCCCACATGCTGGTCCGTGCACCAGAATCACTGTGCTGAGACGGGTGCCAGGCCGAGGCGCAGTGGAGAAAACTCTCTAGCGCCCCAAGTAGGATTCCTTTTCTTCTCGACCTGAATTCTGTCGCCAGGTAATCATGGGAGGCGTAGATAATTTCTAAGAATCATGTCACCTGTTTATGTGAAAGCCATACACAGCAGCTCACCTCTCTGGTGAGGGGACGGGACAGCTGGAGCCTGTCCCAAGGCCGAGGAGATCCTTTCTGGGTCCTTAGGAATGGTAAAGGAGCCTGACATCCCCACAGGTCAATTAAAAGGGACATCCACCAGTGTTAACAGTCGAGGTACCACCTAATGGTTTCATCAGATGGGTCACGACAGCCCCGGGCCACGGTGGTCTGATTGTGCGTGGCCTCGGGGCCAGGGGCTTACCAGGTTCCTCACCAGGCCCTGGCCCCAAATTGTACAGACCCGCTTTTCCATTGCCATCTTCTGTGCACCTGGGACTCAGGGCCTATCTCTGAACCTCATGCATCCCACAGGGAGAGAGAGAGGCCAATCAGAATTGGCCCCGAGCTAAGGGGTCCCATGCACGGCTTTAATTCTCCAGACAGAAACGACCCGGGTTTCCTTGGGGAGCACTGCTCTCCAGTACCCCAAGTACTCTCCTTGTTCCTCGTGATGGGTCACATCCTGAGCACAGCACCTGTGTGACCCAGCCCTGAAAGCCATCAAGTGCTATTTAAGTGTGAGACGTCCCTGTCACCTCCCGCAGTGGCACGTTCCCCTGAGAATTTCATGAGGGGGATTCTGTTCTTAATCGGGGGTCCTAAACATTCCCAACATGGTGTCTTCTTTATAGGAACGGAAGCCACTTTCAAAGTAAGTCACAGTGAGGGCGAATTAGGACCTCCGGAGCAGACCGTCCCTACACGTCCCTGACACGGGGGCTTGTGTGTGCCCACGTCCACACTCTTCTAGATCATTTGTCCCATCCACTTGTGCTATGTGAGTACCTTCCTTGGGGGAAAGTAATTACCACATCAGAAGCCGGTGAAATTATCCTTGGGGTGTACTCGTTCTCCCGAGAACACTTCCTTTCACAATTATGTTCTCTACTAGGAATCTATTATATGATCTGGTTTTTCCTCCAAAGACATCATTAATCATATGGTGAAAATGTTACGACAATTGAAAATGTAGAGATGTTTGTTCGATGCCATATTCAGTGCTTGGCAATCGTCCCGCTTAAGGGTTTTAAAGAACCAGCGCCTGACATCTTCCCAATGATGCCACGGATTTGATTTACCTGCCACCTTTCTGGCGAGGATTAGGACGCTCTCTTTAAAACGATCGTGTAGGAGTTTCTAACATTATTCCAATCACATGGCCAAGCTTGGCTACCACATTCTGTGTCGAACTGGGTCCCAGCACCTGGTTCTGGGAGAAGCCGTGGGAGGAAGACGCTGCCCTGGAACATACGGAAGGGCCCAGTGTCTCTGTGATGGGAAGAGAGCTGGAGCAGGAGTCGGACTGCGGGTCCGGCCTTGGCTCTGACCTTGCACCATCACTGTGGTTCCCTGGAGCCGGGCCCTCCAGGAATTCACGTCCCGGAAATGCCAGGGCATCCAGGCCCAGTGTGATTGCTCCGGGGAGCTCGACACGGAAAGCTGAATTTCAAACAACACCCCCCTCCCCACGGGGCGTCTGGGCCGTGCAGTTGGTGACTCTGGGTTTCCGCTCTGGTCGCGATCTGAGGGTCATGAGATCGAGCTGCACGTGGGGCTCCACACTCAACACGGAGCCTGCTTAGACTTTCTTTCTCCCTCTGTCCCTCCCCCCACCCCATGCTTGCTCTTTCTCTCTCTGAAGTAAATAAGCCTTAAAAAAGAAAGTCAGCAAAACGAATGTGCTGAGAGAAGTAAGAGAAAGAGCCCCCGCCCCAAAGGTTGGCTACACGTGGCCTCTCACAGAGGGGATGCCGGACATGTAACGGCCCCAGTGAGAAACAGGCCCGCGGAGTGGCTGGGTTTTACTTCTCAGCTTAGCTGAATCACGGCTGGGCGCCACGGCAATCGCCAACTGCCAGAGGAACAACAGCAGGAAAGGCAGGATCTCACCCCGAGGGCAAAGGAGCGGGACCCCAGGAAGGGGGGGGCTCACCCATGAGAATGTGGTGAACGGGGTGGGAAAGGCAGATTGGCAGGTTCCTGCCCAGGGACCTCCCCTGGGGCAGCCCAGATGACCAGTTCCAAATTTCATGCTTACTTTTATGATTTGTCCTGGGGGGCTCTTAGTCAGGGAGATACGGTCCCCACGTTCCGAGCCTACTGGGAGCTCTGGGTTTCCCTGGCCGCAGCTCGCAGCCTGATATAGCAGCCAACCCGCCAAGCCGCAGGGCCGAGACCCAGTGGGCACCAAGTCTGGAGGGGCAGTGCTGTCTCCCTGAGGCGAGGCATGGGGCATCCGGGTGGGCCTGCTGGCGAGCTCGGGTTCCCAGGCGAGCCCCTCCACTGCTCTGTTTCCTTTCTACTCAGTGAGAAGCATTTCCCACCCTAAATTCATGGGGAGTGGGAAGCCATCTAAATTCTGAATTTCAGGGTACTGAGAACAGAGGAAATGATGGGGCACCCAGCGGGAGGAAGGGCTGGGGAGCAAAGCGGAAACAGGTGCTGAAGCGGGGGGCAGGGAAGGAAGCCAGACATCAGGCCCCTCTGGTTCAGAAGCCAGCAACTGGGACACAGCAGGCCGATGCTGCCCTTCTTCCCCTCTGGCCCCAACCATCTCTGACTCACTGGCAGGTCCCATGGGGCCCACTTCCTGCTCCTCCCCTCCGGAGCCCACACAGGTTACTGTAGGGCAAGCTTCTGTCTGGAGGCCACCGGGCGAGGCTTCCAAGAAGGCGGCTGGGGAGGGGCAGGGGCGGCCCCTCCCTCACTAATAAAGAGGCCGTCACCACTGGCTGACCTGGACAATTAGCGCGACCAGTTCTAACTCGCAGAGAGCATGGGATCCACAAGCCCCTTACTTGAATAGGAAATGCTGTTCTCCATTTCGCAAACCGCGAACACTGGCTGTGTCGCATGTCAAACCGAGATTCTTTCCACCGTTTTCTCGCACCATTTTCTCACCACCTTCACCGTCAGGGACACCCATCCAAACCTCATGGCTGTTTCTGCGGCCACAAATAACAGATGTGCCAACATCTACCTCGGCCCCTCGCAGGCCTGCCACGGTCTCTGTCTAGACCAAACAAGCCAAAGCAACGAGGCCCTCCTAGTGGCTCGGCGAGGTTTTCCCTAAGTTTTTTCGTTCACTGTGGGAAGGAAAAGGCTGTGAGGAAGCCTGTGTTGAAACTTCAACGGGCTCACACGGACGGACCCAACCCTGAGCCCGCCACAGGCTTGCTTTCCTTACAACACTGGCCGGCGAAGCTCTGATAACGCAAGTATCAGATGGCAGCGTGCGGTTGGCCATTGATAAGACTAAGGACATGTTCCTGGTTGTACAAACAGACATGAAGTCATCTGGCAACCCAGGTGGCGAGCAGGTCCCAGGGGCCAGTCCGTCAAAGGTCCAGCACCGGGGTCACAAGGAAGCCGAGGGCGTCCATGCCAACAATCTCAACAGCTTAGCGTCAAGGGAGTAGGAGAACAAAAGGAAAGTAAGAGCAGGAAAAGACAAGAAAATGAACACTAAAAAAGCCTTGGTGGGTCATCCTGGAAAACGAGGAGCGGCACCTGGGTCACTGTCCTTGTTCCAGATTCCTCACAGACGTCCCTGTCCTGGTAAACGGCTCATTAGAACCCACGGGCTGCTGTTCCCGGGGGGACGTGGGACATGCCCTCTCCCAACCGGCCCCCCACCCGCCTGAAGGAGGGTGCAGGATGGGCGCTCGGTGCAGGGGGACACGCGGAGTAAGGTCCACAGGAAGAAACAGGTCAGGCTGGACAAAGAAATGCCAACTCAGGGAAGCATTAACTCTACACACTTCAGAAACCCAGAGCCAGCACAGGAGAACACGCGGGGCCCAAGGAAATTCCAAATAGCGGCCTCGGTTGTCACATCCCGCGAACACGCAGCAAACCGCGGCGAACCCCAGAGCCTCCCGGTCCTCTGTCTTCCTTTCCGCAGCTCATTGGACAATGGTCTATTCATATCCCCTCGTCACCACTCATAATGCAGACGATCGGGTGCCAGAGAGGCCGCGCTAGGTCACCGGCTACTTTGTACCCCTTCAAACTTGGGAGGGAGCCCCTGCCTTCCTTTCCCTCCAAAACAGAAACCATCCCCTCTTGAGAGACCAACATCAAGGGCACCCAGCAAAGAGGGCCGAGCCCACAGGGCAGCCAGCACGCGCGGACGCTGACCGAGAGTCTCTGTCATCGTACCAGGACAGAAGAGCCAGCGGGAATCGGGAGTCCTCTCATCCAGCCTGTTCACGTTAGAGGCGAGGACAAGTCGGCCACAAAGCCATTAAAGAAACTGGCTGCAGCAGCAGGGATGGGAGTGGGAAGGCTCCCGCCTCCTGAATTCCAGACCCCATGGTCCCGCCCACCTGTCGCCTCCCCCCGCAGGCTCCGCCCCCCCGCGGTCCCCCCTCCCACGAGCGCACAGCAGCCCTCCCTACCTTTCTTCCTCCACCACGGTCCTTCAGGGACCGAGTAGGAGAGGTCCTTGAATTCAATGTTCACAGCCGCCCTGCGTGGCAGGGATGAGAAGCGCTGGGCCTCCGTGAGGTTGTTGTCTACCTTCTTCAGATGCCCGTTCAGCAGGTCGGTCTCCGAGGCCTCGGTGTTACCCGAGACCACCTCGTCCACCGAGACGCACACGGACTTGGGCTCGGTCATGGCTGCAGAGTAACTGCTGGCATTCTAGAAGAGATGGGCAGGAAGCACAAGAGAGGTGAGGAGCTCCGCGAAGGGAAGGGCGCCAGGGACTAGCCATGGGGCTCGGGGTCACCGATTACCCAGGGCAACCCTTGGGACGCGACCGCCGGCGCTGACCGGGAGGGGTTGGTCATCTCTTGCTATCACTGCTTCTATTGCATTTATATATATCTATATGCCTAAGGTAGAAGATTAAACTAATCTACCAAAATCTCACTGCGGAATCCTCAGATGGACTCTCGAAGCTATAACAAAGGACTTGCTTGTCTCAAAGAGTCAAACACTGGCTGCGGTGAAAATGATGTATTTACATGAAGTCCATTCATTCAAAGACCGGGTACAGATGCATGGAGCCCCTAAGAAATGTGTAATTGGGAGCGTTTGACTTAAAATGAGCTGTTTTAGTGCCTTCCCGTGGAAGCTCAAGAACATTTCCCAAGAGCCGAGGCTCCACGGGCACCGCTCAGTGGGGCGGGCGTCGGCCTTGTGTCTTCCTGCAAATTTCCCAGTTCACTTCCAGCTCTGCCTCTCACTGTCTCCTCCTCCTAGCGCGGGACGTTGGGAAGGTTGGTTGCTCACTCTCTCTGTTGTACACACGACAAAATGGAGACTCAGACACTCTCTGGAGCTTGCTGCGAGCCCTACAGTCAGGTGAGGGGCAGCACTGATCCCCGAACCGAGTCATTGAAAGAGGAGGTGTTCCTCCTGCTGCAACCGGAGGACCTGACACTGGGTAGCAACGTCGGCTTCTGGAAGCTTTCCTTGGGAGTCAGCACACAGGTATGCCAAGCACCGAAAGTATTTATGCAAAGAAAGGAACATCTTTATCTAAGAGCTTGGCGACCCTGAGCAGATCGATGGGCTTCAGGTACAAAACACAAAGCCACCCTGGAGCAGACAAAGACTGCGTGGTGCTTTTCCTGGCTGTCTCTTGAGTCCAAAGAGAGCGTTGCACAGTGCCAAAGTGAGGGCCTTTGGCACCTCTCCTCCATCCGGTTGAGTACCATATTGGGAGAGCCCATCGATCACCTTTGCCGATGATCCTGGCCCTTCTGCCCGCGGGAGGACTGAGGACATCCTGCTCTCCCCCCACTAGAGCGCCCTCGTTAGGGTCCCTGACTGCACCACTGAAAAGCTGGGGTTATTTCCATCACGGTATTGAAAGCCTCAGAAATCTTGGAGGCCTGGGGCAGCTGGGTGGCTCCTGTGGTTAAATGTCAGACTCTTGATTTCAGCTCAGGTTATGATCTTAGGGTCGCGAGATCAAGCCTCACATCCGGCTCCTCACTCAGCGGGAGTCTGCTTGAGATTCTCTCTCCCTCTGCCTCCGCCCCTCCCCCTCTCTAAAATAATACACAAATACATCTTTAAAAAAAACCTCGGCTGCTCTAAGTTTCCAAGTATTTAGAAGCACACTTCGGGCGAGGGGCGATGTGGGCACACGGATTTCGGGTTCTTGTCATGTTTGAAAATGTTGCTTTGCTGTTTAACTAAAAGACATACGCACACATACACACACACACACACAGCCCTCCCAGGCATCTCCTACCTCTGAAAAGCTTCACCAAATAAAACTTAGCTCACGGACTCTAACATTCTGTGGATAAAAATTCAAGTGCCAAGTAAAACTGAGAAAATTAAGCTCGGTTTGAGGCTGGCACCGAACATGGGAAACATTTCACACGCAAACAGAAGTAGGTTCCTGCGGTCCTGAGGCTGAGGCCGGGAAGGCTTGCGTCTGCCTGGCCGCGGACTCCTCAGGGCCCCTCTGCTCTGCGGTGGGGGTCGGGGGGGGGGTGCTGCGGGACACGGCCTCTGCCGCGGCTCTGCCCACTGCCTTCCATGCTGGGGCCCCTTGAAGGAATGACAGCAGGCCCTGCCCTAGCTCAGCACACACTTGACTTTGGGCACCAGGCAGACACACGCAACACCGCTCCAGCACCTACAGCAGGTGCCGAGCGCCACCCGTCTGCTCCAGGCCTGCCCCCCAAAGCCTGCGCTCCCCGCACTAGCCACCTCCGAGGAAAAGCGAAATGTCTGCTTCCAAACCCACATCTTACAGGCAGCCCCAGCTCCAGCTGTCGGGGGTTCAGCTGGGAGCAGGGAGATCCAGCGGCTCCCCACCAGAGGTGGCTCCCAGGACCTCCACCCTGGCATCCCGGCTGCCACGGCCTGTCCAGATGGTGCCGCACGCTCTCCCTGGCTGCAGCAGGCAGACTCCAAGCCTGTCTCTTCTCTTGCTTACTCACTCGTCCAGGAATGAGAGCCCCCAGCAAAGCCCTGGGGGTCAACAGCCAGCCAGGCAGACAGCAAGCTCCCCACTCAAGGTTGGGGTCCCAGACAAGAATGCTGCGGGCAGTCACAATGCCCTGAGGCCAGAGCCAGAATGAGACCAGGTGGGGTGGGAGGAGGGCACCTGCAAGGGAAGAGCATGTGCAAAGGCTCAGCGGCAGGAGGGAGCAGAACATCCGGATCTGAGGGACATTCAGAGGCTGGAGCTCCGCTTCCGGGTGGTAGGGAAGGAGGGAGGGTGGGAGGGTCAGAGGAAACTGGACACGCATGGGGTCTGCGTGTGAAGCACTTGCAAACCCTGTGAAGGGTTTTGCACTTTATCTAGAAGTCTTGGGAGTGGGCACCAAGGGTTCTGAAATGGAGGTAACGGACCAGAAACTGTAATTACAAACCATCTCCTACGGCGACATGCAGATGGGAGGGTGACGGTGGCCTTAAGCACCTAGTGGAGGTGGGGAGGGAGGCAAGCAGACAGGCCAGTAGGACAAAGCGGGGTGACTAAACCGATCTGGGAGAGAGGGTGGGAGGAGGCAGAGTCAAGGACTCATTATTTAAGTATTGAATAATGCCTCCCACATCCCAGGTGAGTGATCATAGACAACAGTGACTATGGGCCCGACAATGCCCTAGACCCAGGAAACTCTAGGCTGCAGAAGGGATGCCTCTTACTATCTCCACACCACTGGGGGGATTGCCATCTCCCACTCTGTTCAGAATTGGGCTCTAAGACACAGAGAAGGCCTCCTGCCGGAGACCCATGGTTAATGAGTAGCCAAGCCAGGGTCCAGCTCCTGTGGCTTCCCCTCTGCGCCGGCTATCCCGGCCAGTGTCCTTAACAGCACTCGCATGTTGCTTAGCTTTCTAGAGGCAAGTTGTACGTGACCCTGGGTCATGCCAGCTCCTGCCCATTAGAGTAAAAGCCACGAGAAACTGAGGAAACCAGATAATCCCACCACCCTCCCTCAAAAAAAAAAACAGACACCCAAGCAGCGCATACCATTACCCACCTTTCTTCCACGGATATCCAATGACCTTGCCCAATTAATAAAATCATGAAACCTTGGATGATGGGAGGCAGTGGCTGTCATTCTGAAATAGACCAGCTCTCTGGAAACGGATCCGCAGACCAGAGCGGCTGGCAATGTAGGTTACAGCTAGCTTGTCCTCAGCCTCCTGAGCTCATTAAAAATGAAACAAATACATCTTCCCTCCCCATTGGTTCCCTTTCGTTGCACGTCTCCCTATTTTTCCCCAGCATCGGGGATCTTCGACCTCCCCGTCCACACGCAGTTTGTGCCGCATAAGTGGTAAATAATAGTAAATCCATTCATGGGCGTGGAATGCCGAGGAGACCCTATCTGGGATTGCTGCTGCCTGTCGTTCCTGAGAATATTTTCTTGCGTGCTGATTTCACTTGAAATACAAGCATACAGGGATGCCTGTTTTGCTGGGGAGGGTCTCTAACAGGCCCCCAGGCCGCTATGAGGCTGGTTCACGCTATTTACCCAGGGACACGCAATGAGAGATAGAAACTTCTTCCCACAGCTCATGGGGAAGGGAGGCAGAGGAAGAGGAAGATGCAGGCGGCAGGCATTGTCACACGCTTCTCTCTCAGTTCTCTCTCGCATGTGTCGCGGCTGGGCTTGGTGCCCACCTAGACCAGTGGACCCTTCAATTGGAGGGCAGGTCCCTGCCAGGTACCCCGGGCACCTGAGAGGAAAATGCTAGCCAGGAATCTTCAAGGCTACTACCATGGGGGAAATAATCCACATGTCACACCCTTAACTAAGCCAAAGGCAGGTACACCGTGTGTGGTCACCTAGACTGAAGACTTCATCACCACTGAACCCCACTTCAATCAGCCCCGAACACCACCACCCTGCTGGGACCTCGTGCCTGCCCCTCCCAGCCCAGCGAAAGGCCAGGAGCTTCGAGCAACTTCCAAGTCAGCTCTTCCAGACTCACACCTGGCACAGTCGGCCCCAGGTGGGACCCCAGAGCAGGGGGTGAGGGAAGGCTCAGGACGCTGGGGCTCTCTCAGGGGCTCTTTGTTTACGACTTGGGTAGAATGTTTTAAACTAAAAAAAAAAAAAAAAGGTACAAGATTTTTGAGGAGGAAAATGGTTTTTCAAACAAAACAATGTTCTCTGAAGAAATAAGCCCAGTGGTTAGTGTCTCCATGTGAGCACAGAACAGTGGGGTCCTGGGTCTGCCTCAAACTAGAACATAGCACTAAAAAATCCTGACATGAAAAAAAATCTATACCTTAAAACATTCCGATTCGTTGTTTTTTCACATGTATAAGCCACTTTTGCAGCCTTGAAAGGACTTCAAGAGTTACCTGGCACCTAAAAGGTCTGAAACCTTCCTTACCTACAGCTACCCTAATAACCTCCCGAATTTTCCATTATCAGCATAATTTAGGAATCCCAGAGCTATGCACAAATGTAAAAGGAAGAATGGCCAGGCGTTACCCGAACCTTGGACCAGATAAAAGCAAATGTCAGGAGGAGGGGCTGCCTTTCCTGTGGTTCCATCCCCCACCTCCTGCTTGAGAAGACAAGTAAGGAAGGCAAGGCAAGCCCACAGAGGGGACCTGGTCGGCGAGTCCCCCTTCCCCCGCCCCCGCCCCGCCCCTGCTCCACCAACGTCCCAAGCACGCCTGCAGCCCCATTCTATCGGTTTACACAAAA